TGAGGTTTGACTGGCACATGCAGTCCCCAGTCCTCAGTCGAAGCGCAGTCCATGGACAGTCTACGCATCAAGACAGATGCCAGCGCGAGGACCAGGCCATCCATTTGCAATATGCACTTCCTGCTGCTCGGAGCCAGTTACTGCAAACACTATGTGTCATGAAGCAGCCCCACCATCCCTTCATCTCAGGTTTCAGCGGGTTCTTGAGGTGAGGATGCAGGCCGGCACCCGCAAGCTGCGCCATGACTTGCTGACAGAGATCATGCAACGCCACAACAAAGCCACTGCCGGCAAGTCACGCCTCACCCCCGACGAGATCCTCGCGATCTACTTGCAATTTGGCTGGACCACTTATAATTAAGTAAATTGGACATGACAATGACACAGTGTGACAGGCACCGGTGATTGCTACTCAGGTATGATCAGGCGCCGGAGGCCGTCCGAAGGCAATTGAAAATCATCTGGGGCACGGAAAGTTGCCAGCACACCGCAGTGACACTCCACTGCGTTTGCATGCCCTTCTTTAACCCGTTAAAGCCGCAGACGGGCCCATTCAAGGTCAGCAAGGAGGTGTTGGGCGAGGGAAGCAATAGGTTTAGGGTTTAGGGTCTAGGGCCTATGGGGCATAGGATTCGGCAAACTGCATATTTATTGAGTACTGCAGGTGAACCCACTGTGGCACGAGATCGTGAAGCACTCGTGGGCCAAGGTGGAGGAGATGTTCATTCGTCTCGAGACAAAGTGGAACAGCAAGATTCAGGAATACCTTGACCGGTCCTGCAGTCCTCCAGTCCACCAGCCCTCCTTGTGTGGTCCCTTTCGCGACTCAGGGCGAGAGCAGGAGGTGTACCTCATGTCTTGCACGCTGGTGCATTTAAAAGACCCTCATGACAACTGAAGACTGCAAAAAGTTTTGGCTGCGCTGGCGCAAGGGCCTGCTTGATGGCAAGCTCCTGGCTGAGGTGACCGCCATGAGGCCCGATCTCAAGGCTGCTGACCTGATCTGCCAGTCCTTGCAGTCCTGCGGCCCAGACCTCCCTCTTGACCTTGACATTGATGAAGAGGAAGATGAGCGTGTTCGTTTGCTAACGTCCCTGGCACGCAGCCTCAAGAAGGAGCAAGATGCCATGCGCGCCCACAGGGTTGCTCACCAGCGGTACACAGCCCAGACAATCGCATCTGAGCGCGAGTGGCAGAAGGGCGTGGCAGCTGCCATTCATGACCGCTGGAGTGAGCACAAGAT